AGAGATAGAATGGGAGAGGAGAGAGCAAACCATTCTGGTTCTGTGTTAGGTCATAAACTTGTATGAGACCTTTTTTTGCTTTCTTTCTACCATCAGGGTTAGTTATTAGTAAATGAACACACATATACACACACACGATTGGATTCACTTATGATAACATGGGTTGCCTCAGTGGCAATTGCATGGAAAGCCCAGGTAGGGTAAAACCCAAGCCTAAGCCATGGGGAAGAAAATAAGTCCCAGATTCTACAGATGAAACATTTAAATGTAGACACATTCCACCTGATTAATTTCTCTTTTATTGACTTTTATTGCATTTATTTGTTGCTGACAGCATTAGGAGCCATAAAATTGCTTACTTTGAGCCCTCTCATCAATGAAATTATTCACTGGTAATGTGAGGTACACTCAAGTATCTCCCATTCATGGGGGCTAAACTCATCAGGGTAACTGGGAATTTGGGTATGGAGAGATCCTTTTAACAGAGCCCAAAGCTAACTAGGAAATTATACCTTTTATAATGCCATCCTGGGAAAGAGAGGATTTCATCCAACTAGTGCATATTGCACCCATGATTTGTGCCAAGCATTGTGCTAGGTGCAGGGCTACTACAGTGATAAACAAGATGGACATTGTTCCTGCTCAAAGTCTAATTGGGGATATTGACAAGCAATCAGGTTAGTTATAATAAAGGAGGGTGAAAGTGCTTGGGGAGCATTGAGAAGAGGCACCTAACCCAGACTGGGGAGATCAGGGGCAGCCTTCTTACAGGTGTCATAAATGGGGAACTGAATAATAAATAGAAGTTAACTAGGCAAAGGAACAAAGTTTGAAGAAATAAGACTGTCACGGGGCCTAGATTGTGCAAAACCTTATTAATCACATGAAAGAGTTTAGAGTTTTTCTTGAAATAAATGGGGAACCTTGAGGGATTTTAAACAAAGATAAGATCAGACTTATGTTTTAGAAAGATCGCTGGTTGTAATGCAGAGAAAGGATTTAGTTAAGAGATATAAAGATTCAGATGTAAGATTTCAAAGGACACCTTATTTTCACCATGTGTTTGTATTAAATAAAAATAATTCAGGAGGAAATGCTCAAAGTGAGTGGGAGTTTGTGAAAAATATTGTATCCACATTCCACAGAAAACCCAGTGTCAAAAAATGTAGATAAAAATAATACACAAATGTGAAAACCAAGATTATGATCCCCACTTAGTTTATGGCAGCGGTCCCCAACCTTTTTGCCACCAGGGACTGGTTTCATGGAAGACAATTCTTCTATGGACTGGGGGTAGGGGGAGTAGGGTGTCATGCGGGGAGTTACTGAGCTCAGGTGGTGTGATGTGCAGCCCGTTTCCTAACAGGTCATGGACCAGTACCAGGCTGCAGCCCGGGGGTTGGGGACTGCAGGTTTATGGGATGTAATGAATGTGGATGTTTAAACTGACACCAGTGTCAGCTCAGGAGAACCAAATACAAAGAAACATTAATCTCCTATAAAGCTTGTGGCATTACTTTAAATTAACTGCATTCATAAGGTTGACCCATTCTCCCCGCTATTGGCAATTTAGAGTCATGTAAGCCCCTTGTTCTGCTGCAAGATGGCATTTTTGGTAGTTGATGACTAAGCATATTATTCCACAGCAGCATCTCAGAGGTTCATGCAAACACACCCTTTCTTAATCAGATCTTTACAATAAAATGGATAATTTTGAGATGAGTGATTATAAGGAACATCAAATATCCATCATAATGATAAACTTTTTTAAAAATTGAGGTTAGGCATCACTTTTATGTTACCTCCCTTTTATGTTACCTCCCTTTTATGTTACTCTTTTAATCCTTTCTAGTGAGTGCTTCTGACCATAGAAGTGTGTGATCTTTGGATTCCCAGTACCCAGCCCAGTGCCTGGCATATCGGAGGAGCTCAGTAAAAATGTTTGTTGAACTCGAGTGAACTGCACTCTAATGTTACACCTTATAAATGTGAGCTATTGCTCTCCAAAGTTAATTTATAGTCTCTTCCTTTGAAGTTTCCTGGCTTTGGAGCTCCCCTGCCATGGAGTTTTGTCCCTCCTGCTTTCTCAGATTTACAATTTGGCCCGCTAGTGAGTTCCTCTTGGTTTATCACCTGCCTTTTGTGGTTAAATTGAGCCCACTCAGTTAGATAATGTACTGGGGATTAGGTCATTTTAGTATACTTGACCTTAAGTCAAACTGGAAATAAACCAAGAGAAAACAGCCTTTTTTTGGTTTCCATTGTCCATTTGTACATTTAGTCCAATAAAGAGCTCCCTTGGACAAAAACAGGTTATCTCTTGAATTTAAAAAAGGAAGGAGGGAAGGAGGGCACTAGGAAAGAAGAAAAGAAAGGAAAAGAGGGAGGGAGGAAAGACAAGACACCATAGACTCTTAATCTCCAAATTTTGCTCTTTATTGTTGGGTGCTGAGTGATACATGTTCCAAGTATTTTGCCTCGTTCCCTTACAGAAAGCATTGGTGAAAGCCAAGTTTATAATCTTAGAGCTTTACTTACTAGCTGTGTGATATTGGGCAAGTTACTTAACTTCTCTGGATTTTAGTGTCCTTATTTGTAAAATTATGTTAATTATTTCAATGGTGGTGCTGTAATGATCAAACTGGGTAGAGCCTGAAATCTCTTTGAAAACTTTGAAGCATTATATAAATGTCATATCCTTTTCCATCATTCCTTAATTAATGTTTTCTTATGCCTACCTCTTTTTGCTCATACGCACTGGGGCTAGAAATAAAAACATTTTCTATGAGCAACACAATTATGTATCATCATAGAGCACTGCTTGTGGGGAAAGGGTATATATTAATGCTCTTTTTTTCTCACATCTCTTTGTCCTCACAATCTAAGTCATCCAAACACAAAGTTATTACCCCTTGATTTTATCCTATGACTCCTCATAGTATTATAGCTTTCCTTGCATGTCCTACACAATATGAGGCATACAGTTTAAACTGCCTAATCTCTTCCTCCTAATTTCTCGAATTTGTTTCATTAAATTTCTTTACCAACTCTTTTCCCATTGTCTCCAAATAAGTCACACATACAAAAAAGAATAACAAATTCTTTTCCCTCTTACAGAGCCTTGAGACAAAATTTTGTGTTACTCATTTTTAGGACAATGGACTCATCAGCAACCAAAAAGCCAGGATGAAATGAAAGAAACGAATATCAGGTTTCTGAAATATTCAGTGCCTTTAACTCAAGAACTTCAGGATCAAAAGAAACAGTTTGAAAAATATGGTTTGCGGGTTATAAAGGTATACCTAATTAAGGGGAGGATTTGGATCTTCTTGCTATTAATTTACTTGGTTCTGTAGCCAAAAGAAAAGCTCACCTGGCTGGAGGGGCAGTGGCTCATGCCTGCAATCATAGCACTTTGGGAGACTGAGGCGGGAGGATCACGTGAGCCCAGGAGTTTGAGGCTGCAGTGAGCTGTGTTGACGCCGCTCCACTCCAGCCTAGGCGACAGAATGAGACCCTGTCTCTAAAAAAGAAAAAAAAAAGCTCACTTACTGATGACTCTAAGCTAGAGTGTGCCTCATGCACCTGGAATCCTGGGTCAGTAACACTGGAAGGAGAGCAGGGAAGGGCAGGTGCGAGGGGTATAGTTGGAATGAGGAGGTAGAAATGATGTCAGGACATACAGAAGCACAGATTCCAGATCCAGAAAAGAGCTTTCTGCCTATCTTTGAGTGAAATAAAAGAAGTGGAATAGCAGCTATCACTGCATTATAATTGTTTACCTATTTTATTAATCTATCTCACTAAACTGTGAGTTTTAAGAGGACAGAGACTATGTCTATGTTGTTAACCATTTATTTTGAAATGTCTGATTTCGAATCAAAAGTTTAGCTTATTATATCTCAAACAAGAAGCAGTATAATTAAAGTATGCACCTAAACTATCAACACAGTTTTGCCATCTTAATGGTAGCTTGTTTATTCCAGCAGCAAAGAAGCCTGGAGAGCTAGTGGCAATGAAATTGTGAAAGGTGTTTTCCACAGCTTGTTGAGAATTGGATATTTTTCCTTGCAAGAAGTGGTCCAAAGCTTGGAAGAAGTGGTAGTCAGTTGGTGCAAGATCTGGTGAATATGGTGGATGACAGAGAGTTTCCAAGTCCAGCTTCTGTAGCTTGAGCAGCGTTGTTTTTTTTTTGACTGTGGTCTTGCAAGAGGATTGGCTTGTCTCTGTTGACCAATCTTGGCTGCTTAATCACAGGCATCCTCATCATTTCATCTAATTGGTTGCAGTAGACATCTGCTATAATCAATTGACCAGATTTCATGAAGCTGTAGTGGATAATACCAGTGCTGGACCATCAGACAGATACCATTAGCTTTTTTTTGATGAATATTTGGTTTTGAACTGTGTTTTGGCACTTCATATTTATCCAACCATTGTGCCGAACACTTGTGATTGTCAAAAAGAATCCATTTTTCATCACGTGACAATACGATGTAGAAATGATTCACCTTTATGTCGTGACAGCAAAGAAAGGCAAGCTTCAAGATGGTCTCTCTTCTGATGCTCATTTAATCCATATGGTACACATCTATCTAGCCTCTTTACCTTGCTCAAATGGTCCAATATTGTTGAAATAGTAATGTCAAACCCTGCTGCTAATTCACGCGTAGGTTGAGATGGATTCGCTTCCACTATATCTTTCAGCTCATCCTTATCCACCTTGGTCTCAGGTCACCCACATGGCTGCTCATTTTCAAGATTAAAATCACCAGAATGAACTTCTCAAACCATCAGCGTACCGTGCACGTTCATTAGCCACATCCTTCCCAAACATTTTGTTGATATTTCAAGCTGTCTGCACTGCATTGGTTCCACAATGGAACTTATATTCAAAAATAACACACATTTTTGACTTATCCATGGTTTCACAAAAATTGCTGTAAAAAAATTTGAAAGATAATCACAAGCCAAAACATGCATTTTAAAGAATGAGGATGTACCTTCACAATTAAAAAAAAAACAAAACAAAACCAAAAAACCAAGAAGTGTCAAAGTGAAATGTCAGAGATATCAACTGTCAAACTTAGTACTTAAGGAAATCGGAACTCCATACTTAATAACCTAATATTTTCATCACCAGTGCCTGGCACATAGTAATTGCTCAGTGAATTTTTATTAAATGAATTTATCAAAGAAGGAACACAGGGAATTTTTAAGAGCTAGAAGTCAAAGTACAGGATTGGGGGGAGGAGAGCCTCCTGTGCAACTTTATATGAAAAGCAAATTTCATGGAAATTAATATGCACATAAACACCTTTATTTTTGAAGCAGTATAACAGACAATTTAAGGAGTAATTCTCCAGCCTCTTTTTCACTTTTTCTTTTCCTTGGTTGTAGGTAGAGAAGATAGAGAATGAAGTTCTCATGACTGCCTTCCAAATGAAGAAGAAAATGATGGAAGGGAAATCACATAGGAAACCTGTGAGCCACATACTGTTTCAGCAGGTCCCACACCAGTTCTGCAATGTGGTATGCAGAGTTGGCTTTCAGAGAGTGTACTCAGAGCCCTGTGGTAGGTGTCAGGTCCTCATCATTAGGGCGACTCTATGTGGGAACTTGTGAGCAGGCATCAGCAGATAGTTCACCACTAATAGCATTTGTTGCTCTGGGGAGGGGGATCATTGGTGACTAGAATTTAGAGGTAAAGTCTTTTGGAAAGCATGGTATTTTTTATTTTTCCTTCATATCTTTGGTTGGTGATGGATTGTACATTGATGAAAGTGTGAGCAGTGAGATCTATGGTTCTGGCCAGGTATGGCAGCTCACACCTGTAATTCTTGCACTTTGGGAGCCCAAGGTGGGAGGGTTGCTTGAGCCCGGAAGTTTGAGACCAGCCTGAGCAACATAGTGAGACTCTTGTCTCTACAAAAAATTTCTTTGAAATTAGTCGGGCATGGTGGTGTGTGCCTGTAGTCCCAGCTACCTGGGAGGTTGAGGCAGGAGGATTGCTTGAGCCCAGGAGTTCCAGGATGCAGTGAGCTATGATGGCACTGTTGCACTCCACCCTAGGCAACAGAACAAGACTCTGTCTCTAAAAAAAAAAAAAACAAAAACAAAACCAAAATCTACCACTCGCTGTTTTTTTAAAATTTATGTGTCCTGTGTCCTATCTGCAGAGAGCGGCTGGGGCTTTTTCTTTTTCCTTGCTTATTTCAACAAAATTATTACCAACAGCATTGAATCATCCTCATCCCTTAATTAAAAGGGCATTTTCCTAAATTTAAGAAAGTTGGTCTTTTCTCTTCTATCCTCTTAATTTCCTGTAGCCTGCTAGTGAATAAATTAGGTATCATCTGGCATGTGAAGTGAATAACATATTAAGATCCTTCTCAGCCATTGGTGTTCTATGTGTAGCTTCCACATCTCTTCTCAGTTGTACAAAAATATTGTATACATAATTGCTATATTGTCCCCTTTCCTCTTCAGTCACCAATGAAAAATTCTAGCTTCATGTATCTCCAAAGGAGGATAAGAAGTTTAGTAATAATCATGAAGGGCTACCTAGCAGTGCAGCTTGATTTTGCCTGGTCCATTACATACGTGGCTCTTAAGCGTTACCTTTCAAAATACATAGCGTGATCCTTGCTGTGGAGTCAATTCCAATAGTCTTGATGTCTAGAAAGCAAAGAGTCTGGAAATCATTTTGTCTTTGTCCCTGAAAGAACATAGGCAATACTTGGGGTAAACATTGAACACAGACAATTCCTGGAAGTAAAAATAGGGAAATGAATCCCACCAAGAAGTCTTCTGAGTGCAACCAGGAAAGTGATGATCAGTATAGTCCCTTCATTGCCAAAGTCTTAAAAATCTATAACTTCCATTTGGTACTAAGCTGGCTTTTCTGCAATCCTCACTCCCTTACTTCTACTTAAACTGTTTTAACTAAGATCATCACTATCCTGCTATTTTCCAAATATAGTGAGTACCCTCTTTTCAGTCCTATGGCAGACACTGCTAACTGCCTACCCAACATCTCTGTACACCTTTCTTCCCAAAACATCTGAAACACTCACCGTATCCCCAAAGAAGGTAGTCCCAAAGTCTTAGCCAGTCTAATCATCAGCTTCAAGGCACTTCAGGCACTTCTCTCTTAAAGCTTAAAGGCAAGATATTGCCCTAACATACTCATTATATAATGATATGAGAAGGAGCAAGAAAACTGCAGTAAAAATTCCCATTTTGAAAGGGGAGAAGGAAAACACAACAGTCGCTGGCTCACAACACGTATCACATGCTGCTGGACAGGAATAGTAAGGATTCCCTATTCTGGGAGTAGAGTGAAACCCTTGTTTTTCACTCTGGGAAAATATTTCTTATGTATTGTGGCCCTTGACCATTTCTAGGCCCATTGCCAACAGAGGGCCGTGGATTGCCTTACAGGCTAGAAAGTGTTCAAGCTGTTGCAGACAGTCTTGTAGTTTCTTCAGCAATACAGTTCCTTTAAAAACTCAGCAGACGTAAGGCATATTTGCTTCTGGTCAAGTTTATGTCTTTATAACCCAGTCACAGATCTTGTCTCCAGATAGTCTTTTAAGCCTCAAGATTTTGATCTTTTACCTTCTGGCCTCTGTGCTCTGCCCATTTCCCTGTCCCTTCTCTGAACGGCCACTGCCTTGAGACAGTTCGGACGCTACCCATAATGTGACCTGTGCCAATGGACTCGTCTCTGTGGGCTGGTGAGAACTCTTAACAGACAGTGCTAGACAAGCCAGAAGACACCAATCTTGATATCACTGAAGCTATTGTTATCTGGAGTATAAAAGTACTTGGCTTTTTCAGGCCTGCAATGTTCCAAATTATAGGACTCTCAGTCAGTTTAGATGGCTACCCACAGGCAGAGGAGTTTCTCTTAAGAAAGCTTTATTTTCTTTTTTCTATTTATGTTTGCATTCCAGCCAGTTATGAGTTAATCTAACTTGTAGGACTTGGTTGAATGCAGCAAGACTACACACTTGCCATTTCTCGTGGGGTCAATTCATTTGTTCCACAAGTATTTATTAAGCACATTCTATGAATCAGGCCCTGTGCTAGGGGTGTTAGAGATATAGCAGTAAACAAAAAACATGGAGCTCTTGCCCTTACAATTTATAATCTAATGAGTTCATCTGTTGCCCATTCTTTATCTTCTTTCTTTTTCCTCTACAGCTGCAGTCCCCAACGCCTGGGCCCTGGCCTGTCTATAGTGTCCCTCTAGGTGATTGCACTTGTTCCCACGGCCTTAACTCCTACCTCTATCATGGTCACTTAGGAATTTCTAGCTCTAAGCCCCTACCTCTCTCCTGACCTGGAGGTCCATATAGCCAACTGTCTTTTGGTCATCTTTACCCAGATGGCCCATAGGCACCTCAAACTGAGCTCTTTTCTTGGCCATGTTTTTCTTTTTTTTTTTTTTGAGACACAGTCTTGCTCTGTTGCCTGGGCTAGAGTGCTGTGGCATCAGCCTAGCTCACAGCAACCTCAAATTCCTGGGCTCAAGCCATCCTTCCGCCTCAGCCTCCTGAGTAGCTGGGACTACAGGCATGCGCCACCATGCCTGGCTAATTTTTTCTATATATTTTTAGTTGTCCAGCTAATTTCTTTCTATTTTTTAGTAGAGATGGGGTCTCACTCTTGCTCAGGCTGGTCTTGAACTCCGGACCTTGAGCGATCCTCCCGCCTCGGCCTCCCAGAATGCTAGGATTACAGGCATGAGCCACCACGCCCAGCCTGGCCATGATTTCCGTAAGAAATATGCCCTGTGTTTTCTGATTCTGCCTAACCTGGCTAAATACCATCACCACCTACCTACCAGGTCTCCTAAACCTGAAATGTTATCCTCCATTCCTCCCATTCCCTCACCTTTATATCCAGGCAGTCATCCAGTCCTAGTGACTTATCTCCTGAAAGTCTTAGCCCATTGTCACCTCTCTATTCCTATTGCCTCAGTTCATCTTCCCTTAGACCTAGACTATTACCAGGTCCTTTCCTTGCCTCAAAACACACCCCTACCTAATCTGTCAGTTACTCTGCCACCAGAATTATCATGCTAAAAAATTACATTCTTGCTTAATATCTGTATTCCCAGTTGCCTACAAGATAAAAACCCAAACTCCTTAGCAGAGCATATAAGGCTCTTGCTTCTACATTATTTCACCAGACTCATCACCCACTGTGTTCCTCAACAGTCTAGCCATTAACTATTTAGAGTTCCTTAAACATGCTGTGTACTTTCATCTCTCTGTACCTTTGTCTGTGGAATGACTTCCTTCCTCACCCTTTTTAGCACTATAAACTTCTGTTCTTTCTTCAAGAAATGGCATAACCTCCTGGTTGGCACCTTTCCTAACTCCTGCAGGCCTAGTGAGTTGCTTTCTCCTCTGTGTTCCTGTACTTCTTCCATTCCTTTGTTACAACATTTATAACTTTAGCACGTACTAGAATCTAGAGTCCTACAAAATGCAGGCGCAGAACTAGTTTTCTTTATGATTCTAGAACTGAACTTTACCTAGCTCTCATGCACCCATGTTCACAGATGCAGAAAACTGGGATCTTGACAGTTCAGGGTGAACTCAGTCCTTTTCAGAGATTTGTTAGTCCCTTCAGGGTTCAAACTCCTACAACATTTTGCCCTTTTTCTTCCCTTTTCTCTGAGAGTGATTTAGATGGTGGGAGAGGCATTGTGGGGAAGGTTGTCTGGCTCATGGCTCCAATCTGTTCTGTCTCCCACCGCCCTCTGCTAGATAAAGGACCCTGGGCTTTAGTTATTAGCACTCACCTGCGCCCTTTGCACTCAAGCAGTATCTGCCACTCTGTCTTTTTCATACTGAAGGAATTCCTTTCTAGGCCATGGCTGTGCTCCTCCTGTAGTGCAGGAAATTTTTGAGCGTGCATATCCTCTAAGCTGGATGCAGGGTCTTGTGTAATGATTCTCTTCTGTTCTGGAGTCTTCCCCAGCCATTGCTACCCTCCCCTCAAGTACCAGGCTGGATGAGGGAATGCACCTAGCAGAGTCAGGCAGTGGTCCCTTCTGCTCTGTGAGTCCCTCCAGTTATTCTTGTTCTGAAATTTCTATTGTTCTGCCCCCTCTTAACTCCCAGGGCTCTCTCGAGGGAATGGTACAATGAAGTGAGTCCTTTCTCAAACTCCCCAAGAGCTCTAGTCATGTCGCATTTCATTCTTCTCTTCCCACCATTTTGAACAAAGAAGTTCTATTTGTCTTAAAGTGAGAAAAATGTTCTTAGAATATATTGTATTATTGTCTCCTCTGTTGTTTATGTTCTGAATCCTTTAGGTTTTGAGCCTTCCTCTCAGGAAATCTAACTCTGAAAGCCAGACTTTCAAGAACATATTCTCTTCTATGAATTAAAAATAATTATATATCATATATATACACATACATATATACACATACAGTAATATATGTATTCAATTGACTTTGTTCTAAACTTTATCCTTTTTGCCCTTGAGGTAATACGTGGCAGGAACTCAACGGGCAGAAGAACAAAGAGCAAGAAAAAACTCTTGGGAAGGAAAATCTTTTATCTTAAAATATTACCTTGCCACATAAAATTGTACTACATTTAATCTGTTTATATGCAGGAAGTCCCCTTTGTGAACTTTTAGGTACAGGGATCATATTTTACTCATTTTTTAAATCTAGAGCTGCACTGTTCAATATGGTAGCCATTAGCCACATGTGGCTATTGAGCACTAGAAATGTGGCTAATCTGCATTGAGACGTGTTGTGAGTATAAAATATACACTGGATTTCAAAGACCTACTACAAAAGAAAAGAATGTAAAACATATCTGTAATTAATTTTTATATTTATTACATGTTGAAATAACATTTAGGATAGGTTAAACAAAAATATTAAATTAATTTCACCTGTTTCTTTTTACCTTTTTTAACATGGCTACTAGAAAATTTAAAATTACACACGTGGCTCATAATGCATTTCTATTGTTCAGTGCTGCTCTAGAGCCTAAAACAGTGTTTGGTTAAGACCTATGTAAATGTAAAGAAAAAGAGAGCGAGAGAAAGAAAGGAAGGAAGCAAGGAGAATATGGCCTCAAAGTTTGAATTTTTTTCCCTTTAAGAGAGGTTAGAAAGGGCATAGAACAGGGATTACCTTGAGGTCTAGAATTTGGCCCTCAGCCTCCTGGGAGTGTTCTTAATACTCCAAAGAAGATAATACAGATCAGAAGCAATATGTCAGACTGGAGTGGTTGGAATAGGGCACATCCTCCTTAGTATCGCGGTCCCCAGAATGCCTGATAGGTGGAAGATTACCTGGGGAATATGGACCTAGATCAAAAGCATGTGGGGATTCTTTGTGGGGTATTACACCAGGCCATGGTGAGAAATGATGACCTATCCTTGCCCCACAGTACAGAATACCCACCTACTGACCAAAATGTCTGTGTCTTCCAAATCCAGGGGTGCTCTTCCTAAACAACAAAGCTTGCACACTGACATTTTATATGCTCAACATTCCCCTATTTTGACATGTTTTTCTTGTAATGCTGTCCATGAGATTGGGAGACACTGCTTTCTTGTATCAGATTTTTTTTAAAGCCATATTCTCAAAAGTTCTAGAGCTATCCCTATTAGCTTGTAGAAGTCAGACAATGTTCTAAGAGAAACAGAACCTTCCCTCCATTGTACTCTGTCAGCTGCTTAGTTGATGATATTAACCTGAATCACAATCTCTCTGAATCTCAGATCTTTCATCTTTTAAATGCAGATACTATCCAAATCATAAATTAATTCAATTTAATCAATGTAAAAATACTTTGAAAACCACAGACTTCTCTATAAACTCTAATAATATATTTGAATGTAATTTGTTACTATGCTGATGCTGTCAGTGATAATGTTTCAAGGGAACAACTTTGGGCACTTTTGCTACAGACACAGGGACTCAAGACCAATAGGAGGTAATTATTTGGAGGACTAGAGAGAGAATACATTTTAGTACCCAAATAGACAATATCATTCACAAGATCATAACAATCTTTTAAAACTTTTTTCTTTTATCAGATCCAAAATATGGAGCTGGCATATACTTCACCACGAACCTCAAAACCCTAGCAGACAAGGTCAAGAAAGACTCTGCCACAGATAAGCTGATCTATGTGTTTGAGGCTGAAGTACTGACAGGCTTTTTCTGCCAGGGTCAGCAGTTAAATATTGTCCCCCCACCATTGAGTTCTATAGTTATAGATGCTCATGACAGTGTGGTTGACAACATCTCCAGCCCTGAAACCTTTGTTATTTTTAGTGGCATACAGGCTATGCCCCGATATTTGTGGACTTGTATTCAGGATCATGTATCATTACAGGATTACTCATCAGGACCAATGTTATCACAGGGGCCTTGGGGGAGAGTCACAAGTGGCAGCCCAGTTGATTAATCTCCACATCATTTTAATAAATGGCATGGCCTTACTTTGGGGGAACTAACCAAATAATGACCATCAATGACTCAAAGAGTAGTTTGAATATGTCAAGTGGGTTATCTGTATGGACTGACTGGGTTATTGAAGGAACTGGCCACATAGTATTACCTTAGTGCCTCATCTTGGTTTTTATCTCTTGGGGTTGGGGTAGGTAGATACCAACTAAAACACTCTCAGGACTGTTTGTTCTCCTTGCAGTTGTTCTTTCATCTCCTTTACTAGAGGTAACAGCAGCAAAAATGTTTTACATGTAATGAAGAGACCTTTCTAGTATATAATCTAAGCCTTTTAAAAATGATGAGAGTATAAACTATTAGGGCAGCAGAATGATTTTAGATTTTTCCAGAGAATCTTATAAAGTACTTTAGATGTCAAAATAACCTTTGTCTGAATAACAGGCTCTGAAAAACTATGTCTTGAAATAAATGAAATAATTTGAAGTAGAAGGACATAAATAGGTTGATATTCTGTTTGGATTCAGCCATATCAAGCAATGCCACTCAAGCACCATGAGGCCAAATTATTAATTCACCAAATATTTACTGATCACCAGATATGTCTCAGTCACTTTGTGGGTACTAGGGATATGATGCTGGATAAGACAAATGTCTTCACAAACCTTTTAGCTTAAATAATCAGAAAGGCAGCTATGGACAACTTGAGTGTGATTTGTTATAATAAAAAGAGAATTACAGTCTCTTTGGAAAAATTTAAGAGGGAGAGGGATAAATTAATCACAGGTTGAGGGAAGGCCACCAACTGAAGTGAAATTCAAGCTGAGACCATAAGGGATGTAGCAAATTGGGAGCAGTCAAAAGTATTTTTGGCAGAGAGAATAGCTTTTATAAAGGCTGGATCCACTGTGACTGCCCAAATTTGACTACAGAGTTCTATTTGTGATGTAGAGGCCAGCTAATCACATTATGCATCTCTTACCTACTTTAAAATCCATATTTCTCTGTGCTTCTAAACTCTTCTGACCACACATCCTCTTCCTTGTCTTACCTTAACCAGTATTATTGTCTAATATGGTACTGCCCTTGGATCTGTGGTTTGAAAGGTTCTCTGCCTTGGGCCCCTTGCTTGAGATGGTCCCAGGCTAGCCCTCCTCCAATGGTGCCCATCCGCACAACGTGGAGGAGTCCACAGGGCTTAAGAGAATGGATCCATCTGGAGTCTGCACTGCTCACTCCTAAACCACCCACTAGGTATCTGGAACCCCCAATTTTCCTGTTTAAACAGTTCTGATTTTACTTCTTGGGCCTGACTGGGACTCATTCTTGTGTTTTTCCTCCCAAGTGTGGACTATGCCAGTCTGTATCAAGAGTGGCCAATGTCAGGGATGGGGCTTGGACATGGATGGGGGCTGAGGTGTACACATGTGTGAGGCCTGTGGTGCAGAGCTGAGAGTGAGAGGACAGATTTGAAAGATCTAGCTTAAGTTTAATAGGAATTTTAACAGAGAATGGAGGAGGGGCAATGTTTGCAAGAATTAAAAAAAAGAAAGAAATCTATAACAAGAAACAGTGAAACTGTAGACCACCAAAGAGGTGATCTTAAAAGCAGCCAGAGAGAACAGCCAAATCATCTATCAAGGAATGAGAATTAGACTGACAGCATACTTTTTGTGGTAGGCAGAATAATGTCCTCCCCCACTCTGCCAAGATGTCTACACTTTAATCCCCTGAACCTGTGAATGTATTACCTTACATTGCAAAAGGACTCTGCAGATATAATTAAGGTTACACTTAAAATGGGAAGATTATCTAGAATTATCCAGGTGGACCCAATCTAATCACTAAAGTCTTTAAAAGCAGAGAACATTTCCTAGCTGACTCAAAGAGATGGTAGCATGGGAAGGATTTGAGGCCCTGTGCTGGTTCTGACAGATAGGACACTATGTACAAGGACTAGAGAGAAGCTTCTGGGAGCGTAGGATAGCCCCCAGCTGACAACCAGCAAGGAAACAGAGACTTCAGTCCTTTAACTGGATGGAAATGAATTCTGCCAACATCTGAATTAGCAAGGAAACAAACTCAAGAGCCTTCAAAAAGGAATAAAGCCTGCCACCAACACCTTGATTTTAGCCCAGTGAGATGCATGTCTGATTTCTGACCTACACAACTGTGAAAAAATAAATTTGTGCCCTTTCAATCCATTAAAGTTGTGGTAATTTGTTATGGCCATAATAGAAAACTAATACACTTTTCAACAGCAACAATGGAAGCCTGAATACATTAGTATAGTATTTCCAAGGGGCTGAGAGAAATTAATTGCTAGCCTAGAATTCTTTGATTAGCTAAACAATTATTTTGCTTTAATTTTTGAATAAAGACACTCTCAGATCATCAAAAACTGAATTTATCAACAATAGGCTCTCACTTATGGAACTTTAAGGATATATTTCCAGAAGATGGAGAAGACCAAAGAAAAATCTAAGCTGCAAGAAGGCATTTTGAGCAAGAAATGGTAAATATACATACATCTAAACAATCATTGTCTTTATAAAACAGCAAATAGGAATGTCTAATTTTGGTTATAAAATAAGGCCAAAATAAAATACTGTAGAATGGTGGGGTGGTGACTACAGTTAAAGTGTTTCAAAATCCTTGTATTGGGCCAGGTGCAGTGGCATGAACCTATAGTCTCAGCTACTCAGGAGGCTGAGGCAGGAGGATGGCTTGAGCCCAGGAGTTTGAGGTTGCAGTGAGCTATGATGACACCACTGTATTCTACCTGGGGCGACAGAGGAAGACTCTGTCTCAAAAAAAAAAAAGAAGTCCATAAATCAATTAGGTGAGCACGGTGGCATGTGCCTGTAGCCCCAGCTACCTGGGAAACTGATGCAGAAGGATCATTCAAACTTAGGAATTGGAGGCTTCAGTGAGGTATCATCACACCAATGCACTCCAGCCTAGGTGACAGAGTGAGACCCCCTTCTCAAAAAAACCACCGAAACCCAAAAAACCAACAAACAAAAGAAGTAAGTCGCACCATGCAGCAAGGGTTGGCCTTTTGAACCCAGCTGACAATTATTGGCCTAGGTTGGCCCTCTAGGGGTTAGGGGAGTGAGAGCCTTATGGCAAGGTGGCTCCTACGAGGCCTAGGGCAATTCTTCAGAGAATGGAGGCAGCAGAGAGTTACCAGTTAGTACTCACAGCAGGTAGGAGAATGGGTACACTGGTCAGAAGAAGGAGATGTGAGGAAGAGTGATCAACTGTCCCCATTTGCCTGACTTTCCAGATTTTAGCACTGAAATTCCCACATCCTAGGAAACTCTCCCAGGACACAAATCCTAATTTTCTGCGGTGAGTGAGAAAGGTTAGGGGAAAAGTACAAAACCCACATGACAGCCCCCAGAGCAGGCTGAAAACAACACTGTTTTTAGTGTCAAATAGATACAGCATAGATTATTCACCTTCTGTAGTCACTGTCATGTTTTCTTCTGCCCACTGATGTTGGCAACCATGATTTGCAGTTCACAGCAATGAACATCCATTGTTGCATCACTCTGAGGGATGTGACTTAAGTGTGCGATTTAAGTGAGTTGTAATCACAAGCATTAACAGTCCACCTTTGGCTTTGCCTGTGAATTAACTATTGTACATTGTAAAAGTTGAATTTTTAAGATTGTGAATATTGCAACCATGTTTTATAAGAGTGGAGATAAAAATGAGAATGATCACAATACCAACACCAGCATGACCCAGATATCACTGAAAATGCAACCTAAACAACTGTGTAATAACAGATGGCAAAACAATATAACTGGATTAGAAAAGTAAATAGCCAAAACAGAGCATATTGTACAATGTGCGGAGACGAATTTGGGATTGAGTATGGTGGAGATGGGGATGTGAAAACACATAAAGAGACTAAATCTTACAAGTCTAAGATGAGACAGACAAGTACTTCAAAATCAAAATGTTTTTTAGTTTCCCAAAAAGGCACCAACACTCAGTCAAAAATACTGGCTGCTGAATTAGCTTGGGCATAGCACATGAACCATGTTACATGCATGATTGTCTCATATCTTTGATTGTTCTATGAAACTATGTAAGCTTACATTTCCTGATTCAAAAAATGTTCCCTCTAGCTCTTGGGTAATTTAACATGAAAAATAGAGTGTTTTTTTTTTTTTTTT